TAAAGAAAGGCATCACAGAATTTTCAGCACCAGTTATTAAAGATGGGTGTATGTATATATTTGAGCCTCTATGTTTACAATTTGTGTGTGAATTAGAGAAAATCCAAAATAACTTCAGACTTGTGCACACAATTCTTATTTTGTTAAAATCATTAAAGAAGTATGCTGTACAGTCATTTCACCCTGGAAACAATGGTTCCAATAAATCAATTACCACCTCTGCACCTCTATAAACTGGCAGGACATATATTTATATATACCTTTATAGCCTTATTCATATTACTCAGTTTTGTCTTAAAACTTGTTATGAGATGTTTTCTAGAAAAGAAGACAAAACTAAACCACTTCAGGTGTTTCCCTTAGTCTGGCTGGCCCTGATGATGCTGTCTTTTATAATTTCATTAAAACCTGTGAACTGAATTTCACAGGTTCATACAGCTCAACTGCCTTTATCTGAGCCTTAGGCCTCTGAAGTGTCCTTGCATACCTGCAATGTCTGTTTTGTAGAAAATGTTCCTGTAGTGTGATAACAGAGAACTCAATAATAGAGTTTGAATGACAGCTTTTTTTCATGATTTGCAGACTACAAGAGTAAAACAGTCATCACACACACCTTTAACACGTTACTAAATCGGTTTTGTGTGGATTTCTTTTCCAGCTATGTTGTTAAAATAGTTGGTCCGTAGGCATATTAAGTTAAAACCCCTCCATAATAACTTATGAATTTCCATCTTTGTCTTATACTGTATTTAAAATTATACTTACATAACAGTTTGAAAAGACTGGACGCTGAACACGCCGGGAGTGAAACGATGAATGACTACTTGTATTTTGGAGATGTAAACCACATTAAATAAACGATTTAGTGAGGGTGGATAATTACAGTGATCGACAAATGCGTGGCAACTAATGCTTGCTTGACATGTTCTGATTAGCCCTCATTTTAGCTGAAACCACGGAAGAGGAGGATGACTGGATCCTGGGGGAGGAGAAGAGCAGGATGAAGATGAGGTGAAGTTTATAGACACGGATGAAGTGAAGTGACGACATGCAAGAGGGATGACTCAATCACCCACTGGCTGCATGCTACCAGAGGTCAGACAGCATGCAGAGGAGATGGGGAAAATGTATGAAAAAGAGACTAAATCCTTGTGACATTATCTGTTTCTTTCTTCTTCTTCTTTTAAGCAATTAATCATTGAGGACCCACTGAGACAGCATGATGACAAGAACCGCATGCTCAGATTTCAATCTTACTGCAGCTCAATGACAGATAGGAGAGCATGCTGGATATGAGAAAATCTCCAGTCAGGTACAAAAAGAACAAATGTTTGATATGAATCATGCTGACATATTTTCACAGTAAAGAGCAGTTGGGTCTTACACACATGGAGTGTGGCTGGTATGGATTGACACAAGACAGTGATGGAAGTTCAGGACAAGCTATTATATTTGCTCCTGTTAGGTCTATAATTTTGTTCCCCATATCTGAAAGTTTCCATTCCATGTTGGTCCATTTGAAGATGCATGGTTTGCTTCTGTGAGACAAGCCCACTACCTGATACACTCATTTTGCATAAATCATCACATCTAAAGAGGAACACGCATCAGCAAAGAAACCAGGACATCCATGATTGCAACACCACTAAGGCAAAGATGGCTCATTAGGGCCTGTCCCAAGTCTCCACTCATTTCATTTCATTGTTCTCTCATGCTCACGGTCAAATGCCATCAACTGTTGCACTTCACTTGCCTGCCAATCAAATACATTTTTCCAAGCTGTTGGAGTCTTCCAGTCCTGCAGCCAACCAACCATGCCAAGGCAGGTGTCTATCTCACTGGACACGAGCCCATGTGGGCTCTTGAAATGCAACATTTTCCTTCTAAAATCAGAAGAGGTCCCCAAGTTTGCTGTTTTTGATTGTTGGCATTGAAAATGCTGCCTGTGGAGGACATTTTTACAAATTCCCAATTTAAAACATTAGATTAAAAAAAGTAAGTTGCATTACATCAGTGTAACTTTGATTAGATGCAGGTATGGTAATACTGTAAAGTCAGCATGGCATGTAGTCTACAAGACTGTGGAGCTCTCCTTCTGCTGCTTTTTTTAATCTAAATAAAAAAAATGTGTTTTACTTACCAAAATACACTGTCTGCATCCTTCAAGTTTAGCAAAATTGTTAAACACAAGCGGCCTTCCTCTTCACTGCCTTTGTTGCCGTGCGGCTGCTGCCAACTGCATGTTGGAGGCTGGGCATGTGTATCCTTATGTAAGTGCACAAACTGATACAGAGCATGACGCCAAGGAGAAGAGTCACTTTCACCTATACATAAAGCAAATACGCATCCAAGTCATGGTCATTTTTTTTGCTCAAAATCAGCAAAAATGTTGACAAATCAACCAACTAGGCATCTTTTGCAAGGTTCGAGATGTCTCAGTCATTTTGCTAATCCCTTGTAGCTGTGAAACAACTAGTCAGCCACTTGCCAGACGAGTTATTCTGAGACAGGTTTTTTTTCCCCCTCCCCTTCCACACAATGAAATATGAATAGAAGTGGTGGGGATAGTTGGCAGCTGTCAACAAATTCCACAGCTTCCCGCCACCATCGATCAATCAGTCCCATATCTGAAGCACAACTGTGCTAACCCGTTGGCTAGAACTGACATTAATCCTAAACCTTCCAGTCAGCGCGAGGGAATAACAGGATATAAGGTGGTGGGAGCGAATGCTGATACAGGCACTAAAGAGGAAAGGTGCCAATGCTAATGAGTGTATCTGTGGCTCTTTAACGAGCCCGATTTGATGTCCTAATTTACAATGAGCTGTGTCTCAGGGGCGCAGGATAATGAGCAGGACCGGGATTCCCAAGGCAGAGGCTTGTGTAACCCATCTCATGCAGGGGACAGTCACTCCCACAGAGTGTGAGTAAGAGACAGACAGTAGCACAGAGAGCAGGAAGGACATATTCCATGTCTGTAGGAGAGAGGAGGGTGTGAGAGAGGTGGGTGCATGTCATCCCTGCCTGATATGATTGTTTGTACACACCAATCATTGAATCGCTGCGTCCAAGTGAGAAAAGCTTGTGTTCTCCGTGACAAACTGACCTCGGGCAACAAGAGCACTCACAGAAAGAGGAAATGGAGAAGGAAAGCATGGCGGGTGGGGGAGAAGCAGCGGGTTTGGAGAACAGATACCAAATATTGTAGACTGTGATAAAACAATACTCTATTTTCTCACTTTCCTTTCTGTGCTTAAATTACACAAAATTTTGCATTGAAATTTTTATACTGAGCAGCCCTGGGAAAAAATGGTAAATGGCCTGTATTTATATAGCGCTTTACTATATAAAAAAGAAGAAAAAGTCTGATTCTAGTGCACTCTGAAGCAAATTAACAAATGTGGAGCTCAGTGACCTCAGTGCAGAGACCATGCACACACAGTATGCAGTGTGCCCTACCACCCCCACCTCTTACTGCTGCGTCTGCATGGCTGCATTAGTCAAGCTCTGATGGGTTTTTCCGCCATGAGAAGCAGAGCATGACATGCGCTCAACAATGGCAGGCAGATGACGAGCCAGCTCCATTTGATGATGGCCTCTGTCGCAGCGGCCGCTTTTTTTGATGTGGAGGAATACAAGGGCAGCGTGATTCATTATGGGTGCACAGGTGGCCCGAGATCTAATGAGTCACATTTTGTGCAGTTCAAACGGCTCTCCAAGAGGAATGCACATGCTTAAAAACAAGCGCGTATCAGAGCTCTCGTTGCCACTTTTGCTGCAGAGGTATCAGCTGCTTTTCCTCACGTCGGGAGGACAGATTTCATTCTACAAATTTAAAAGGAGCACCACAATAAGCTTCTGCAACCCTACCAATAACCTGCAGTGTCTATTGCTGATATTTGGATTATACATCTGCTCCTAGTTTCTAGTTAAACCTTTAAACCTCCCAGCATTAAATTCTGCTTAAAAACATTTTAAAAATACAATCACTGAATAAACACGGTTTTTAATCAATCAGATTTCAGAGAACTGTGCATCACAGCTTTAAGTGTTTCTGCTGGCCTCTCTAATCAGTCTTGGTTATTAACACTGCCCCCCTCTGGCTAGTTGGCACTCTGATTAGGACATTGTTTTGCATTGTACTGTACTTTCTAAAGGATCTAATTTATCTATGGCACTGGAAAAGTCTAGAAATTAGAAATCATATTCTGTCTTTCTCATAACAATCATTTAGACAAAATATTAATAGTTCTTCCTTCTATGGATATTATTTGGGAAGCATGTTCTACCTTGTTTAAGCATGCTAGTCAATTCATCACAGGAGCCACAACAATCCAAATTGTGCCTGATCTATTAACTGCTTGCCACTGAGCACCATTTGAACGTTTGACCTTCTAGCGCAGCTCCTGACATTATGTTGACATTTAAAGTAATCCCTCCCGCGGTTCTTAATCCCAGTTGTCGTGGACTGGCCTGGCCATTCTCTGAGATCAAGCCCCTTATAGTACATGCTGCTCTCACCACACCCCGGCAGAAAAGGCGTTGAGAAAGGAACAACTTTGACACTGCCAGTCTGCGACATCCTTGTGCTTCGGAGATCACAGCTCAAAGCATGTAGCAATACACAAACTGAGGCATTAAGTTGAATGTACACTGTCATTACACTTTGACAGAGCTAAGGATTAGATTTTCCTAAAATAAATAAATACCAGGCAATATTCAGAGAATCCAGATTAACAACACATACAGCTGTTGTGAAGGCATCTCACATCTGGATGAGGAAAACACTGGGTTTCATGGACACACAGAAAAAAGAAATAAAATGATGAACTCATCTGATTTTCTTTTATTAAGCATGTTGTTCCCGATTTTTCCTGTAACCCTTCACTTTCACAGCTGAGACACCTTTTAATAAAATGTTTGGCGTTACATAATCTAACTGCAGAGAACGTGTCATTCGGACAACAGGCCCCGACAGATAAAAGTGATTAAATGAGAGGTACAAGATGACAACCCATTTATTTAGTAATACATTCTGCAAACTAGAAATTTTATTCAAACTTCAAAGGCTAAAAAATGAAAGAAAGGAGGGAGGGAGATAGGTTGGGGGGGCAGAGAAAATTTGAGTAGCAGGGAGAAAAATGCATCTATTCACAAGCAAGGAATGCAATTTGTTCAATCGACAACACAAATAGAACAATTTAGTTCAGGGAGCAAAGCTTTTTTTTTCTTTTCTTTTTTTTTTTAAACACATTTCTTTTTTTTCCCGCCATTCCTTTGGAGCTAGAACATAATACAAAATATACAGTTATTGAACTTTGTAAAATCACTCACAGAGGCCTCTGAGAAGCATTTGAATCAACACTGACAATACTTAACTACAGCACTCTAAAGCTATTCTTGAATGTAATCATAAATAGAGCAGACATTAATGTATGTATGCACATTTTGAATGCTTACGAGGTTACCATGTTAAAACACTTGCATTTGTTGAAAGTATGACATCATCTGCAGTGGAAATTAAATAAGCTTTCATGACACAGATTTGATACAGTAACATGGAGAGAAGAAAAACCAAACAAACCCGCAAAGGTTGAAAAGTTCTAACTGGTGACAACCTGGCAAAGTCACTTTGCTGATAGCTTAAGTACCTTAAAATGGACAGATTTCATTTTCTGAGAGTGTAATGTTAGCAGCATTACTCCTCCTCGTAGTGTTTTGTTGGACAAGTACTTTAGGGGGGGCAATGTGAGTTTGGGTAAGGCAAATCGGTGAGCTTATTTATGAGCTGAGAAAAAAAAAAAAAAGAAAGAAAGAGAGGAAAAAAAAGGTCAAAGCGAGGCTCAGCACGTCCTGTAAGGGGACGAATAAACCACCACGACTAAGGGTCACACAGTAAACCCCACAACTGAGGTACATAAATATGCACAAGAGGGCGCAAGCTTTTAAAATCTCTTCAGCTTCTGCCAGGTAATCCTCTGTACAAGAATATACAGGATGCATTCCAGGCAACCAAAGTAACTCTGTAAATAGCTCTATAATCTTTTTTTTTTTTTTTTTTTTTTTTTTTTAAATACAATAACAATTTTCTGAAAAGAAGAAAACAAAAGCTGATTATATAGAGGATCAGTGCATATGACTCGTCATGTATAGTCACACTTATTTTCTCACACACCTCACATGTTTAAAACCCTGAACTCAATACAATTACAGATTTGAGCTAAGTGAGCATCACACAAGTGCACGAGAAGCTGAAATTACACGGGTGAGTGTTTGAGGGCATTGGCTGGGGTTGAGGGGGAGCTTTACAGGACAAGGCCGATAGTGTTCCTACTTACTAAAACAGGTTGTCTTTTCCAGTAGTTTCTTCAATCGTTACTCTTATTTGTTAACATCAGCACAATTCAGGCAAATACTGTACATGAGTATAACCTTATCCCAATCAAACAGACCAGTGTTAAAGTAATGGGCTCTAGGGAAAAAACAATAAGGAAAGGCTCTAATTAAAAGTAACTGCTGAACTAAAGACAAAAACACTTACTATTGAGATCACGAGGTATTTAAGGTAATGGAAAAATAAAAAACAATATATGTTTGGAATAATTTTTGTTCAGGTTTTGGGAGAAATAACAGGGGTGCAATGGAAATTTGCAATCACTGAAAACATGCACATGAGGACAAATTATAGACAGGCCACTCTTAGTATCTCACAACATTTCAGCTACAGCTATTCTGAATATTGCATTTCTACTGTAGGAAGTGGATAACAAGCAAAATTTAAGGGCCACGACATTAGCTTTAAATTATTCATGTGAAAACACAGGGGCATGAGTTTTGTCAACTGTCTAAACATACAAAGAAAAATGTTTGTTCATCGCTAGGCTTGAAGAGAAAATTACCAAAGTTAGAAATACCTACCAGGATTGCAACAAGCAGTTGGGTGCTGACAGTTGTTAGGTAAGAGACACTTAGTGCACTTAAAAAAAAAAATACAAGCTATGCAGAGCAAAATAAATAGCTTACAGATTAAATATGAACTGCTCCACACACAAAAAATAATAAAAAAAAAATCAAATCCACTGAATAAATTGAAGTATTTTCAACTGAGTACAGCAGGTTTACAAGTATTACGGTATCATACTAGCAGAAATACAACTCTTAATTTTAAAACCAAAAAGATGGAAATGAAACATTTTTACTCTGCTGTTTGTCTTTTGTTGCAACTTGATTTTAATAAAGGGAAAGAACATTCAGTGAAACCACATCTTCATGCAAACACACAGATTTCCTACTTGAGTTAGCTGCCACTTCAGCAAATCTTTTGATGGTTGTCATACTTTTGTAGGATTACTGGTTAAAGGTACACTATGGAGTCTCTCAGTAAACGTACATTCAACACGTCTTAGCAAATTCATTTTTGCTTTAAGGCCTATCAAACTTTTTCATAAAATCATATTTTCCTAGGCTTCATTCCCTAAAATCATCATCTGGTTTTGGAGTATTTTAATGGTTCTTTGGCACTCTAAAAGGCCCTTCACATGTGCGACAGCATCACACCTGCACTCGGATATTGTTGTTTGCACGATTCCCTACGCGACAGGCAAAATGCAGCGAAGGAAAACTTGCCTGTTCCACACGATAAAAACAAAACACAAAAAAAAACCCCTGCAGAATTACAGGGTGTGCAGCGATCAGCGAAACACAAATTTCAGGCCATTCACTTGGCCACAAGCATAAACGAATGCAAATTTCTATGTGAAAGGGCCATTATGTCACATTACTATGACACCACTTGTTGATATACAAATTACTGCCCCCTGCAGTCAGCAAAAGTGCATTTCACATCACCTCAAGGACATTTCTTGCACATTTTTTCCCTCTAAAGTGTGCACTTGCAGTGCGAGGACCTGCTTATAGATTTCTTTTCAACCAATGATCATAAACTCCACAGAGCACCTTTAAAAAGCAACCAACCAAAACTAAGAAAAATAAACTACAGTTAGTCCAATAAGTAAATATTTATAGCTAGTTTTACTTGTGAAGCGGGCTTTGTAAAACCTCGGGGTTCTTTGGCACTATTTGCCACATTAAGCACATTAGAAAGTAGCTTAGGATTATTATCAAAGTTAGTCTTTTTTCCCCCTCTTAATGATTAGCCAAATCTAAATGAACTGAAATGGTTAGGATTGTCATTATGATAAATCAAGGAGTATACATTTAGTACATAATTACTTTGTATTTCATATATTTGGAACCATTCAGTATTAATCACAGGAACACCAAATGGATTAAATGGAAAACTTGGTCAAACACAAACATTTAACCAACCACCTGAAGACAAACAAGATAAGAAGAAAAAAAAATACCTAGCTCAAGCAACATGATTTATTCCTTAAAAATTTAAGCTGAAAATATATACACACATACATAGGTTTCCAACAATGCAACACACACACACACAAAATGCCAGAAAATAAATTTGAAATAAAACTATTTCTCTTCGAGAAATATATCAACTATGTGTGTTAAATACAGATTTATTCAGCGACTATCTTTACAGGGGAGTGGGGCGAGGGTGTTAACCCACAGATCTAACACAATAGCAGCAAACTGTATTGTGCTGTGCCTTGCAGTGTCGTGGTGAGAGTTTTTAACTGGAGAAGAAACTAATGGGAATAAAAAAGGTGCCGCACAACAAGAAAGCTTCGTTAGCAGATTTCTTCTTGTTCTGAATGCCCAAAAGAAAGCCTCGTAAGTTTTAGAGCCAGCAGTTTCTTCTATTTTCAAATTGCCAATGCAAAATTTTGTTCAGTGCTTAAACTGTTCACAACAAACAGATCTTAATCAGATGTAAAATGAAGAAGCTCAAACATATTTGCAACACATACAAAAACTGCATCTAATGGGGGGCTTGGCATAGCCTGACTAAAGCTGAAGGTGTAATTTAAAAAGAAAAGAAGCAAATATGGCACCCACAGTGGTCACTGGTATTCATCTACATTTACAAATTGATATTTAAATATGACACGATGGGATGTGTAAACCTGAATAACCTCCAAACATTTCAACTGAATTACTAGTTTCATCTCA